CGCGGCCGGGCCCAACTCCCTGCACCGTGAAAGCTGCGCAGAGACTGGCTCTTGGAGATGAGAGGGGTGTGCTTGGGGAGGTCCCGGGGGGCCAAGAAGCCGGGCTTCTCCCCTGCGGAGAAACTGGGGTGCCATCGAGAATCTCAGACCCTCAACTAGCCCCTGAAATGACCCCATCCCTGTGACCTTGTCCCCAAAGATCATATTTTAACCTATGACCCTAATGAGACCCTATCCTTGATTTCTGACTACCATTCTGTCATTTCTATGACTCTTGACATAACCTTTCCTCTCTTTCTAGCCTCTCCCCTGACCTCTGACACTTGTAATCCTTGGTCTGATCCTTCCCATTACCTCTGATTACATTCTGATCCTGGGTTTGACCTCTGCTTACAAGGACACCCTCTTCCTTACCAATGTGGCCCCATCTTCTCCCCAACAAATGTTACGTTGATCCTGTTGTTCCTGTTCATTGGTAGAATATGATCCCTGACCTTGATCCCAAATATGACCCTGTCCATAATGCCTGACCTCACCTGACCTAAGCCTGACCTCTGCTTACAATATGAATCTGCCCTGACACTTGATGACTGTGTTCTAACATCTGATTTCAAACCAACCCCTGATTTTACCCCCTCCACAACATCTGATTGAAAAGCGACCTTAGATCTCTGATTGTAAAGTTACTCTCTCTCTGACATGAGGTGACCTCTCTCTGCCCTCCGACATGACTCTATCCCCACCTTATTTATATTCAATCTGACTCCGTGACTAGCTGCCCTCTACCATATGTGAGCCCCCCACCTCTGGCCTCTGTCCATTCTGACACTGTCCCCACCATGGTCCTGCCCCACGATCCCTGTGATTTTCACCTGTGACCCCCCCAGTGTGAGAGCCCTGCCTCTGCTCCCAACCATCATAACCCAGACCAGACTTGAGATTACCTGGAATGGACCTGGGGTGATGGAAGACGCATTGGCACAGATACAGGGACAGGCTGGCCCTCCTCGATGGCCCTCAGGATGGTGGGCAGTGGTTCCAAGCTGTCACGGGTTGTCTGGTGAGGCATGCAAGGAGGATGCTAAGTGAGCTTCTGGAGCCAGAGTCTCCCAGGCTTTTTGCCTTCCCAGGGCTTTGTGCTCAGGTCACACCTGGTCAAGCTCAGCAAAGATGGTACAGAGCTGGGCATGCAGGACTGCCAACTGGAGAGCCAGGTCGCTACTGCCTTGGTAGCCACTGGGTGCAGCATTCACATCCACCATGGCCACCTGGTCCAAGAAGTGTTGCATAGCTGGCCCATGATCTTCCAGGAAGCTATTCATGAAGCCCATGTAGGCTTCCTTCTCACCAAACCTAAGTCAGAGCCAGGCTGGATGAGTCAGGTCAGGCATCTTGCCACCCTTGTGCCCCCAGCATGGCCTCCCAATCTCCCAGCACCTACGGGGCATGGTTGGCGAGGTTCTGGATAACTTTGGCGATCAATGTGAGGGTGCGAGCTGGACCAGGTGCTGGGTGCTCTGGTGCCAGGCCAAAGAGGCTGGGTGCCAGGAGAGCAGGACATAGAAGCCTCAGGAAGAGGGAGGCACACACTAGTCGGGGGCCCAGTGCCTCGGAGCCACGTGCTTTGCATGCTTCTCTCCAGCTTGAGAAGACAGTGCCCAGCTCTGACGGGAACCAGCTGGGGCAGAAGAGATAGTAGTCAGAGGAGGCAGCTATGGGCATAAAGGTCCTGGATGGTTAAGGTTATAAGAGCAGGGGTCATACATCAAAGGAAGCATTGCATGGCTTGTCTATGATGCCCCAAGGAGCTACTCATGAAGCCCATGTAGGCTTCCTTCTCACTGGGGTCCAGGTACCAGGATTGAGGATTTAATGATACTTGGGGTTATAAGTCCCCATAAGGTCAGTGCTTATAGTGTAGTTATTATGGCAACCTCTGGAATCAGTACTCTTGGATTTGGTATCCTGGATCACATAGGAACAAAGTTCATGTGCTTGAGATGTAGTTATAATTGGAGATGAGACTGAGATGTCAGAGTATATGATATGAAGTAGGATGGGATTAGGGTTACAGGGCCACTTAGAGTAGGATGCCATGGGATTTAAGCACCAAAGTTAAGCTAGAGTCAGAAGTAGTCAAGGGACAGGAATCCCCAGGTTTCCTGTGTTCAGTTTTATAGGATTTGGGATACAGGGTGACTTAAAGTTGGAGAGTCATGGGATTAGGGGTATGCATCATCTGGAACCAGAACTCATAGGATTGAGGTTTCCTGTTAACTAGGGTCAAATGGCATGAAATTAGGGTATGGAATCTCTTCAAGGTTCCCTGGGGTCAGGTATCATGGAATTGAAGATATGGTTGACAGACAGCCAATAAAATTTCAGGACATCCTGTTAAACTTGACTTTCAAATAAATAACAAGTAATTTTTCTAGTGTAAGTATAACCCAAATATTGCATCAAATTTAACTTAGTGTGCTGTATTTCGTCTGGCAGCCCTAACAGGAGGGTCGAGGTTATCACAGTGGCTGAGTGGTGGGGATGGGGGTGGGCTCAGGTGCTAGGTCCTTGATTCTTACTCATAGGAGTGAATGATGGTTTCAAAGACCTCCTCACAGCTGCTTCGAAGTCTGGACTGGTGCTGGGGCAGCTCTGATGCTGGGCACTTGCTGGGGTCCACCTCACAGTCCTCAGTGGAGGCACAGAGATGCTGAACAACCTCCCCTGAAGACAGGAAGAGCCAGATAAAGTCCAGGGTCATTATGACCCAAACCCACTGCACCCAGCCTTCAACCCATCTCTCACTTACTCCAGAGGCATCTAACATCTTGAGGAGTTTCCATTTCCCCCCAGGATACTAGCACCCCCAAAGAACCACCAGAATCCAGGCTACCCAGGGCCTCCTACATCTCCTCGGGTCCCTTAGCCCACCCAACAAGCCTTTGACACCAGCTGCTCCCCTCCCCAGCTCACCGAGGGTCTTCTGGAGGTAATCCTGGGCCACTAGCTTCATGTACTCATCAATGGCCTTGGTGGCTAATGTGTTTTCTCGGAACAGCAGTGCCTCACGGCCTCCACAGCGGGCCAGCTCGGCTGTGCCCAGGTCTGTTACCAACGCCTGGGTAAGGCAGAGGTCAGTCACGTTGTGCAGACTGAGCCGGGGTAATCTTGGCTCTAGACCCGATCTTCACACCATTCTTCATTCTTGCCCCTCCTTGTTGACTGCCCACCCCTCACTTTGGGGCTCATAGCTGAGACCAAAACCTCCACTCCTCATGGCAAAAACAAGCCCTGTATTACGGAGGCTCTGCTCAGGCTCTGCCCCTCGCAGCTGAAGTTCAAGTCCTGCCCCTCACAGGTGATGCTCAGGCCCCGCCCGAGATTCTCGTCCCTTACTAGTACTGCTCGGGTTTCGCCTCCCCACTCCACTATCTGCCCCTAGGTGGTCCCGGTCCGCGCAGTCGTGGCGCCTCACCTGCGCTCGGCCGGTGGCCTGCAGCACGCGCACCATGGCGGCTGCCAGCTCCTCCTTGGCCTGCGCAGGTAGCGCTGGCTCGAGCGCTCCGCAGAGGCGCGCGTAGTGGAAGGTGAGAAACTCCGCCAGCTCCTTGTAGCGCTCCGACGGCAGCACCCGGAGGCGTCTGGCCCGGATTCGCGCCCGCAGGGCCGCACCGGCTGGCTGCCCCAGCAGCGGGAACCAGCGCTCCAGTCCTGCCGCGGGCGCGCGGGGAGCGCTCAGCTCCTCCAGATTCAGCGTCACACGGCCCAAATCTGCTCCCGCTGAGCCTCCGCCGCGAAGCCTCAGTGACAGGCGACGGGCCGGTGGCAGCGCCTCGAAGTGGAAGCGCTCAGCCCAGAAGAGCTGGCCTGGGCCAGCCCGCGGTGCGGTGCGCGCCAGCAGCGCGCCATCTAGCCACAACTCGGCTCGCACGCCGGACATCCCAGCCGCTCGGGGCAGCCCCTTCGCCTCGTGCACCCACACGCTCAGCCACGTCTCTTCCCGCTCCACGTTGTCCTGTGGGCAGGAACCAGGAGGCAGAGTGTTTCGGAGGCCTCAGCGCTCCAAGTTGGATAAGCGGGAGAAGCGCGGAGCGTCCAACGCTGTGCGCCCTGCCCCAAGGAGATTGCTGGCCCTTGGGAAAAAGCGTGGGGCCTCGGGGGTCCAAGATAACTACACAGAAGGTTCTAGCTTTGGGAGGGGTTGCGGTTCCTGGAGAGATCGGGGCTCCATGATATAGAGGAGTAACGGGTAGGTAGGGTTTTGGACGCATATCGTGCCAGGATGAAATAGAGGGGCTGTCTGATCTGTTGCTGGCTGGTGCCATCACAGATGGAAAGGTTGTGAAGGTGTGGGCGAGTGTGTTTCAGGGGAGAGAGTTTGGATCGAGCAACGTTTGGGTAGAATGGAAGGGGCGCGCCCGGGCCGGTGGGCAGGGTCTCCATGTCCAGCTTTTCTCGGGCAATGAATGACCTGACTGGGCTGGAAGTGGCGACGAAGATCCTCAATCCAGCGATCTCTCTCAGCGCCTGAGCGACAGGAGAAGCAGCGGCTACCGCCCACCCACGTTACCTGTTGGAGCAGGGGATCCAAGGGTGTGGTTGAAGCCAATGGTGGCGCCAAAAGGTCGGGGGTGGGACACAGGGGGAGGATGGCTTGCACTAACCTGGAAACAGTAGGGCTCTCCCAGGAGGCTGGGGTGCAGTGGCCAGACCCGCACCTCCCGTTCGGCACCCAGGTCCAGCTCAGAGAGTGTGGCCAGTGATTCTTTAGAGCCCATAGTACTGGGGGATGGGGGCAGAAACCCGTGAGCAAGCATCATTCCTCCCTTCCCTCCACACCCACCATAGCCTGAAGGATAGAGGAAGGCCAGGAACTTGAACTTAAATTGGATCCTGTTCCTATCCTGCCTCACGGTGGCTGCATGACCTCAGAAAGACCAACCCTTGTCACTCTCTTTCTGAACTCCACAGTTGGCCTTGTTTTTTGTCCCTTTCTGCCTCTTAGCCTTTGCACTTGCCGTTCCTTCTGCTTTTCCCAACCCTTGGCCTAACTTTCAACCAAGGTGTCAACTAAAGTGTTCTTTCCCTGACCCTCATAGACCAGGGCCTTGACTCAGCTTCATTTTAGAGCTCACCCCAACCCTTCAACCAAAAGCAGGCTCTGTGTCAGGATATTTATGGCCCCAGCATCATGTGACCTGGGGCAGAACACAGAGGAAGGGATAGGAGGTGTTTAGGGAAGGTGGGATTGATAGGTGCTGGGGGACACATATTGAACCCCAGGCCCTCTGCCCGCTCCAGCCCCTCAGAGACCCTTACCCATCCCTGGAGGTATTGGCTCCCAGCTCAGACCTGGCCTTTTTCTTCTCTTTCAGCCTCTTGAGCAACCCCTGGGGAGAGGTGGACATCAGCTGGGAAGAACTCTGTGCTTCCTTCTCAGCTCTTTCCCTCCCAGATGTCCTGGAGGATCTGCTGGTCTCAGTGGACTCACACCAAACCCAGGCTGTATTACCAGCAATAATAAAGACAACCGGCAGCTTGCATTTCTAAAGCATCCACCATCAGCTTTTCTGCATTCTCTATCGACTCCTTGTAAACAGACCCAAGAGGAAAATTCTCATTATCTCTATCTGATGGATAGAGGGACACAGAGACCCAGAGAGGATCAGCGACCTACACCAGATCAACCAGTAAAAGTGCCCCTTCAGCTCTGAGGGTTTCGGAGTCCTCGCTCACCCCTGCCCGCACTCCCCTCTTCCCACTGGCTGCCTCACCCGAACATTGTGGACCTGGTTGGAGCCAGCAGCCTCTGGCTCTGCCTTTCCAAGGGTCCGATCTGTGGGTAGTCAGAAGTGGATAGTTAGGGCTTGAATCATCTTTGTCTGCCCCGCTTTGAGAGGCTCCCAAATACCCAAGCCTTCCCCGCCTCTCAAGAGACTTACCTGCATCCCTGAGGTTCCCCATGGCCACTTGCATGCTGCCTTCTGAGCTGGCACTTCCCACCCTTGGCCGGCGAGGACCCTGTTTTCCCACAGGAGCAGGCAGTGAGAAAGTGGAGGGAGAGAGGCAGAGGAAGGGGCAGATGCCCTTCCCTCCCATGCCAACCCTATTTTCCCTTTCCCTCCTTCCCTCCCTTTGCCCACGTGCCCCCTCTCACTTCCTCCTCGCCCCCAAGCAGCACCAGCCTTCCATCAAGCAGGGTGAAGCCCCCAATATCCCAGACAGGCACATCAGGGGTGGGGGCCTCGGGGATCTGTGGGATGTGAGGCTCCGGCTCTGGCTCTGGGAAGAGAAGGAGGTGCCAGATGACTTAGTCATTTCTTCTCCCTCCAGTCACCGTCTCCACGCACCAAGGCTCATCAGCGGTCCCCTCTTAGGTGCACTCTCTGATAATCATGTCAGGCATGCATCTACCACTCTCTTGTCCTTGTCCCCACCAAACACACAGCCCACCCACTTGCCCAGGGTCACAGAGTTTGTGAGTGGCCGAGCCAGGCTACAAACACAGCATTATTTTCTTAACCAAGGTAGTGGGTAGGTTCAAGAGGCTAAAACACAGGGGTTGGGGTTGTAGCTCTGTGGCAGAGCCCTGGCCTAGCACATGTGAGGCACTGGGTTTAAATTTTTTTTAAAAAAAGTTATTTAAAAAAAAAGGCTAAACAGGACAGAAGCCATGAGTCCTTATACAAATAAGTCTAAGGTGGAAAGATTCAAAGTTTGAGAAAGAACAGAAAAATCTCAGGGTAGGGGGAGGTCCCTTTCTTGGGGAAGGGGAGGTAGCAGTCAGTGGCTCAGGAAGGCCTCCCAGAGAGAATAAGCTCACGGTAGGTCTTGAACAAAAGGTTAGATTTTGGTAAGCAGAGATGAGAGAAAAGATGGCAGGAACATCTTGAGCAAAGGCTGATGATGAGCACAGCCCAGAGACATGGAGGGGAGGGCTTGGAGGCAGGAGGAGAAAGCCCAGGAAGAGATGGGAGCCAGGTCTTGGGTGGAGGTTTCCCCGTTGGAGGAACTAGGGTTTTATTCTAAGGGTAGTAGAGACCCATGAGAGGTGTTTGAGCAGATTTGCTTGTTGGAGTGCTTTCTCTGGATCCTATGCAGTGAACAAGCCCTGACATCCTGGGAGATGCCTCTGCAAACTGGAAATTATGTGAATAGAGAGATTTAACTGAGCTCCCAGTTAAATCCGCCCTGTCAAATGACAGCTTGCTCCCTTGCTTTACCACTAGGGGCAACAAATGATAACTCCTACTTATTAATGGATCACTTACAATATGCTGGGCTGGGCTTGTGCCACATTCCTGAGCTCTAATCCTCATGATATCCATTACCTTCTAGATCCCTTGGCACGACATTTGGAACCATCTGTCATTTTTTTTGTTGACTTTTTTTTTTTTTTTTTTTTTTGAACTCCATGCAATGAACTTTCCTCTTAGAACTGTTTTCATAGTATCCCAGAGATTTTGATAAGTTTTTTACTGTCTGTCGCCTCCACCCACCACCATCACCACCACACTGTGGGCTCCACAGGGCAGGGAATGTCATCTGCCTTGTTCACTTGTGTATCTTAGTGCCTCAACTCGGGACTGGCCCATGATCGATGCTCAACAAACGCTTGTCTGAATGAATAAATGGAGGGATGAACATGAATGAATGAAACACTGTGACCTTCAAGGTGGAGATCATCATTTTCCCGCTTAACTCATGGGGAAGTGGAGGCTCAAAGGAGACCAAGAGACACAGGTAAGACTCAAGGCTGGAGATCAGAAGGCAGAGGAGGTGGGTATCCAGGCAGAAGAGACGGGAGCCTAGACCATTGAATACAGGAGAGACCTGTTGGGGCTGAGAGCCATTTGGCATCTGGACAGTACTCGTGTGCTCTGTGCCCTCTCCTTTCCTCAGTCTGAAGCCCCTGACCATGGGTCCTTGGCAACCCCTCTTTAGGTGAAAAGAGGGAAGAGGGCTGCCGGCCCCAGTCACTTCCTGCTGGGCTTCTGCACTCCCCACAACTTCCTGTGTCTAGAGGGCTGATGCTCTGGTGGCAGACAAAACCCAAGCATCCGGCCACCCAGCCCTGCCCAAGTTCAGGGTGGGGGGAAGCATGTACCTGGGGCTTCTGGCTCCAGCTCTGGCTCCTGCGGTGGGGTCTTATGTCTTCCCCAGAGGGTCTTGGATAGCCTGAGGCGACTGGTCCGTGACTCCTTCGGGGGTGCAGAGAGGACCCGACGGAACAGCAAGCGGGGGGCTGGCTGGCTGCTAATCATGGGCTCCTGGTGGCTCAGTGCTCTTCCCCAACCAACGAAGCGGCCCCAGCGGAACCCACCAGTCCCCTTCTCCCCTCCACCTCCTGTGTGCCAGCGGTAGGATGTCGGCAGAGGTGGGGCAGCCGGCTGGGTTTGGGAGCTCTGTGTCCGTGACTCCATGGTGGAGGCTCTCCTGCAGGACTAGAGAGAGACAGTGCTGCCCAGTGTCTGCCCACATACTTTCCGCATCTTGACTGCCCCTCGGTTCTCAGCTCTACCTCCAGATAACCCACTTGGGGGGACCACATGTATTATCCCTCTTACCTTGATTTCCTGGCCAGCCCCAGAATCAGCAGCTTTCTGCACCCTGCCTGGCTTCCTCCCGCTGAACCCAGGTCCACGTGACCCTATCTGTCCCACCCCACAGCACAGCCAGGCTGGGAGGGCACAGAAGGGGCAGGATGCAGGGGCGGGGATGGAGGGTAGGTGGCAGAGGGAAGGCAGCAGAGAACATTTCTGGCAAGAAGGTCCCAGAATCCCTCACTGACCGGAAGGCAACACATGCTCCTCTCCCTGAAACTCAGTTGGCGTCTCTGCAAAATGGGCACATGCTGAATAAATATTGGTAAGGATATGGAGCACTGAGAGTTCTCATCTGATGCTGGCCAGTGTAGATTGATTCACTCATACTGGAAAAATGTTTGGCATGATCTCCTTATAGAAATGGGAAAAAGTTCTCTCTCTCTTTTCCCTTTGGCATGATGCTTGGCAAGCGATCTGTGACTGAGCTATACTTCTAGCTCCTCCCACCTTTTAAAATTTTAATTTGAGACAGGGTTCTGCCAAGTTGCCCGGGCTGGCCCCAAACTTTTCCATTTTCTTGCCTCAACCTCCAGAGTGACTCTGATTACAGATGTGCACCACCTTGACATCTTTTGTTGTTGTTGCCGTTCCTTAAATGGAAGTGAAATTCATGGGACACACGTTTAACATGTTCCAGTTTTTGAGCTCAGTGCTGGTTACTTGGGTGTGTTCTGCTGTGAAAATTCGTCAAGTTACGTGGTTTGGTGCACTGTCCTGTATCTTACGCTTCAATAAATGCTTACTTGAAAATGGGGGCAGAAAAAAAAGCTGTTACGATAAATGAGTGAGTCAGCATCACTATGGCCCAGAAGCTGGACAGGGGTGGGTTTGAGTGCCAGCTGGTCCCTCTCTCGCTATGTAACCTCAGACAAGTCACTTCCTTTGTCTGAGCCTCGGTTTCCTTATTTGTACAAGATGATAATATCAGTTTCAAAAGGTTCATCATGGGAGCCTTCGTTTATTTGACAAATGTTTCCTGAGTGTCTGCTGTGTGCTAGGTACTGAAGAAGCCACTGGGAACTACATGAACTTGGTTCCTACTCTCCTGGAGCTCCCAGTACATTGAGGGATACAGATAATGAATGCAAATAGGGGATGTTTCTCACTGGTCAGGTGGACTTGGAGGGAAATAAGGCTGAGCAGCAGTGACGCTCTTTGGGCTGGAAAAATCCAGGAGGACTTCTCTGATCTTTGCGATATCTTTGCAACCTGAAGCAGAAAAGAAATTAGAAGATCATACCAAGGAGAAGCAACAGTTTGTGCAAAGGCAAAGATAACAAGAATCCATGGAGTGGCAGGTGGGCATAGTAGTGCATGCCTGTAATCCTAGCAACTCTGGGGGTTGAGGTGGAGGGTCTCAACATCTGAGGCCAGTGTAGGCAAATTAGCAAGATCCTATCTCAAAGTAAAAAGGGCTGGGAATGCAGCTCAGTGGTAGAGCATTTGTTTAGCATGTGTGAGGTCTTGGGTTCAATGTCCAGTATTGAAGAAAGAAGAAAAACAAAGAATCCATGGAGCAGGAAAGACAGGACTGACTCCATGGGTATATGGTCCTGGACGGTCACAAAGGACCCCAGACACAGAAAGGTCCCATGCTTAGTTTAACACTTTGCTGTCATCATCTTGAAATGCTTACTGTGAACAAGAGATCTGATATTTTTATTTCACACTGGGCCTTGAAAACTCTGTAGCCTTCTATGAACAGGAGAGTCTTTTTTTTTTCTTTTTTGTAAAATTATTTTTAATTAATTAATTAACTTTTAGATTTTGGTACTGGAGTTCACCACTGAGCTACATCAAAACTTTAAAAAATATTATATTTATTTATTTTGGGGTACTGGGGCTTGAACTCAGGGACTCTCAACCCCTGAGCCACCTCCCAGCCTTATTTTGTATTTTATTTAGAGACAGTGTCTCACTGAGTTGCTTTTGCTGAGGCTGGTTTTGAACTTGTGATCCTCCTATCTCAGGCTCCCGAGCCTCTGGGATTATAGGCATGTGTCACCACACCTGGCTAAAATATTTTTTTATTTGAGACAGCGTCTTGCTAAATTGTTGAGATTGACATTTGTGATCCTCCTGCCTCAGTTTCCTGAATCATGAGGATTACAGGCATGCACCACTATACCTGGCAATTATTTTTATTTTTAAATTTTATTTATTTATTTTGTGGTGCTGGGAATCAAACCCAGGGCCTCATGCATGCTAAGCAACTGCTCTAACACTGAGATACACTCCTGGTCCTATCTTTATTTTTAACTGATAAATTGTAATTGTATCCATTTGTGAAGTACAATGTGATGTTTTGGTGTATGTGCCAAGTGGAGTGATTAAATCAAGGTGGGGGGCTTTAGTGAAAGCCAAAGACCCTTCTTCTGGAGCTGGATGTATTTATGCACATGTACATACACCTCAGATATGTCCACCTTAGACATGTTATTCAGACCACACTCCCACCACTCACAGTACACGTGTCAAGACTGTGTCCCACCACATCATCTGGGCCTTTACTCTTCCTCTGCACACTAGCCCCACTCCCAGCTCCCAATACCCTGCATTTTTTTGCTGGAGGATTTTCTCTTGCAAACTGAGTCTAATTCGCTCAGGGGACAAGCATTCCAAAAGTGCCATCAAATTAATACTTCCCCAAGTGTGGTTCTTTGTCAATGACCCTCACACATATAACTCTGAGATATGTGTCTTCCGCTGTCCCCCAGTGGGCTTAAACCTTGGTTGCTCACAGTGGAAACTTGCTAGAAAACACATCTCTTCCTGGTTACTTCTCCTTCCCTGCTTTGCTTTCTCATTCTGCAACTGATATGTCCTGAGATAATCCCCCAATCAACCATTTGTACTAGATTTCTTTCTTTCTTTCTTTCTTTCTTTCTTTCTTTCTTTCTTTCTTTCTTTCTTTCTTTCTTTCTTCCTTCCTTCCTTCCTTCCTTCCTTCCTTTCTTTCTTTCTTCCTTCCTTCCTTCCTTCCTTCCTTCCTTCCTTCCTTTCTTTCTTTCTTCCTTCCTTCCTTCCTTCCTTTCTTTCTTTCTTCTCCATCTTTTTTGTAGTGCTGGGATCAAACCAGGGCCACCCACATGCTCGGCAAGCGCTGTACCACTGAACTATATCCCCAGCCCCTTGTATCAACACTCTTGTCTTAGGGTCTGCTTCTGGGCAAAGTCAAACCAGGATGATGCATGCAAACACCGACAACGTGTGAACAAGAACTTTCTTTCCATGGTGTCTTTATTGGAGATCTGCAGCGGGCTGGCAGGATCATTAGAGGTGGCTCCCTCTTGGATCTCTGGAAGGCCCTCCTGGTAGTTCTTAATTTTCAGTCTAGAAAAGACAAGGGAGTATGATTCTTGGGGCTGTTTGTAGCTGGGTCTGCTCTCCCCTTGGGATCTAGGACATGGGAGAGAATCAGGGTTCAAAGTGAGGGAGTGAATATAAAATTGATTGCAGGCCAGGATGGAAAGATCAACAGCTTAATGAAATAGAGTGGCAGTTATACAAGTAGCATGATTGTTCAGATGTGTGTTGTTGTTTTTTTTTTTTTGTTTGTTTTGTGGTAATAAGGATTGAACTTAGGGCCTTGAGCATGCCAGGCAAACATTCTACAACGTGCTATATCCCCAGTCCTTTTCATTTTTATTTTGAGATAGTCTGGCTAAATTGCTGAGGTTGGCCTTGAATCTTGGATCCTCCTGCCTTAGCCTCCCCAGTAATTGGTATTACAGGTATGCACCACTACACCTGGCTAGAGATTAAGTGTTTTAGGGATTGAGGTCAGGGACTGGGATGAAGTCTTCAGGCAATCTAGGCTGGGCCTAGATTGCTCCAGTTCTCACCAGATTTCAGGGGCTGAACAAGCTTTCCAAGGGCTCAGATTATCTGGGCAACTGACAACTGGAGACTGGACAGAGGTTGTGCAGGCAAAGGAGTTTTGGGTTGAAAGCCAGAAGCTAGGTTAGTGCCTGTGGACAGAAGGCCTTTGGATGAGGAGGAGGCAGTAGCAAGCCCAAGGTTGGGTATGCTGGGATAATGGTTTGTTTTTTTGTTTTTGGTGTGGGGAGGGGCAGAGAGGGAGACTGGGGATTGAACTCAGGGGCACTGGACCACTGAGCCACATCCCCAGCCCTATTTTGTTTTTTATTTAGAGACAGGGTCTCACTGTTGCTTAGTGCTTCGCTTTTGCTGAGGCTGGCTTTGAATTTGCCATCCTCCTGCCTCAGCCTCCTGAGCCGCTGGGATTACAGGCCTGAGCCATAGTGTCTGCTTGCTGGGATGAGTTTGTGCAGGCAGAAGGGTTATGACTTGGATTTAGGTCATAAATACTGAGCTGCGGCTGCGAGGGCAGAGGGACGCTGGCAGGGGTCAGGGCCCAGGCAATGGTGGGAGGGCAGAGATATTGGGGCCTAGGCAGAGAACAAAGTGGCTGGCTCAGGGTTTGGGCTGAGGTGGTACAGGTAGAAGTTCCAGGACAGGGGATGTTGCCAGCAGGGACTGAAGACTGGGCTTTGCTTGCCAGAATAGATGAGTTGCAAATAAGATCCGAGCCTGGTTCGGTCTGTAGAGGCAGGGGATGACAGACAGGGGTCAGAGGCGACTGAGCTGTGCACACAGAAGGGCGTCCATCTGCAGGAGTGCAGGCGGCTTGCAGACTTACCTCGGTGAAGTGCGGCCAGGTGCGCAGCAGACCAAAGAGCGCATCACCCGGGCAGTCAGTGGCCACCAGCTGGCGGTGGCCGAGCAGCTTGTAGTCTGGTCGCAGGAGTCCAGCGCGCGACGCGCAACTTGGCAGCACTTCGCGCACCATGCGTAGCGCGGCCTCGGTGGGCAGTGTCGCCGTGTAGTTGCCCACAAAGGCCACGCCGAAACCACGGGAGTTGTGGCCGAGCGTGTGCGCGCCCACCCAGTGCCAGCCGCGGCCCTCGTACACGTAGCCATCGGAGCCCACCACAAAACTTCAGAGGGGAAGGGGAAGGAGGCATCATGTGGCATGAGCCAGGCTCTGCCCCTCATCTGGACCCTCCCCCAGATTCTGCCCCAGGGACAGGGGCCATCTGACCGCAAGACCTGCGCAGACACACTGCAGCTGATCTATACGGCAGAGTGCCACTCCCACACCAAGGGCCACCTGGGAAACTGACTTGCTCTCTGGATCCCCCTCTCAGCCCTGGCCGCGCTTCTCCACTCTCTTCCCCTAGCCTCAAGTCCAGCTCTTGACCCATTCGCAGCTTTATTCTGGCTCGGCCTTCACTGCTCCATCCCAGACCCAGACACTACCATGGGGCCCATCCTTCGCCCAGGTTCTGCTTCCTGGCCTAGTTCTTTCCCCTCACCCAGGCAGCCCACTGTTTAGGTGTTTCGGACCTCTGTTAAGGCCCGGTCCTTAGTCTAGACCACGCCCCCAATCTGGCTTGGCTCCACCCACCACAAACTCCTCCTCCACCCTGTCAGGCTCCGCCCACTCACTCTATCCTGGAACTACAGCTCCACCCCTGGTCTGGCGGGGAGGGAGGAGCCTGGGGAAGGGTCAGCTCACCTGTAACCGATGTCATCCCAGCCTCGCGTGTCCTGGTGGAAACGCTGCATGGAGAGCATGTTGGCTGAGCATCCAGTGAAGGTGGTGCAGGGTAGCGCTGGCACGTACGTGTGATGCACGTATAAGAACCCGAGCGGCAGCTGCAATGGCTTCGGGCGGCCCCGGTAAGGTGCCGCTCCCCAGCGACATCGGGGATGGATGGCTGGGCATCCTGTGGGCAAAGGAGTCCAACGTGGTGTCAGCAAGCGTTTCCTGCCTGCCGCCTACAGACTCGTTAAAGTGCACATCCAGTCCTCCAGGATCTTCCCAGATACAGTGAGAGTCATTGGGATCTGTTTTAAATCTAACAGCATTCCAGTCTTGTAGGGATACTCACTGTTTCCCATCAACTTCAGAATAAAGCTCAAGAATTTTAGCTCAGACCTCAAGGTCAGATGCTTTCTCCAGATGGCCTTGCCCTGAACGCTAGGGAGGGTTAGCCACGCTGACAGGGATGGGGGGGAATCTCAACCCATTTACTGAGCTCCTACTGTGTGCTACTTTCTTTTTCTTCCTTCCTTCCTTCCTTCCTTCCTTCCTTCCTTCCTTCCTTCCTTCCTTCCTTCCTTCCTTCCTTCCTTTCTTTCTTTCTTTTCCTTTTTTTTTTCAGT